ACAATCTCCCTTTAGTCTATTTATATTGTATATTTCTATTTTAATTTTCTCTTTCCATTTGTTTTTGCTGTTGTATTTATATCTTTTCTCCTGTCTGATTCATGCTCTACTATCTTTCTATTATCTTTTTGGTTTGTATAATTATATGCTTTCCTTGTATATTCAAGTTTTTCTTCTTGATTTATACAGGCTTTTTGTAGTTAGACTTTAGCAACTTTTAGAAGTGATTTGGAGCACTATACTCCTATTTACTAACTTCTTCTCCTAGTCCTTGTATAAGTTGAGCTAGTTGAGTTATATATTCTAAAGATCTGTTATTACTTCTGTGATAGCCTTGCTTATTTGATTTTCTTTTATCATTGTCTCTGTTTTTCTTTTGAATAATATACTTCTTTTCTATATTATACTTCTCTTCTTCACTATCACTTAGTACTACTTGCATTCTTCTATACTTTTTTTATACAAATTTTAAGCATTCAGCTTCTTGTTCTTGTTTCTCTTCTTTTCTTTTTTCTAAGCTTTTTTTGCTTCTTTTTGAGTATGTTTCAGGTTTTCTGAAGTTCTCTGCTCTCTAGCTTTTGAATGTCTTAAGTTTTTGTTCTCTTGTATTTGCTCATCTTAGCTTGTTGTTGTAGTAGTATATTAAAAGTTTAGTAATGTTTATCATATCTTCTTGGCTTTCAAAATATACTATCATACTTCTCATGTTGTTGTTATTAGAATTTTGGAAGATATGTAATGTCTTTGCTTCTGACTTCTTTATTTGTCTTTACAGTAAACTTCATTCGTATTTTTTGATAAGTCTAATAGCCTTTTGCTAAACCTATTTCTTGTATGAAGTAATTCTTGATTGTTAGTACTTGCTGTAATTCTTACCAATATTTGGTTTGTGAATAATAGACACCAAGTCTCTTTCTTTATTTCTTCATTACAAGTACTTTCTTTAAACTCAATTTCTGCTCTAGTTTTGTCATATGTGCTTTTAATCATCTCTATATGTTCAACTCTTCCTATAAAGCATACTATCTTGAAAACTTGTGTTCTCTTTGCTCAGCTTGGTAGGTTCCAAACTGTTATTTTATTTTTATCTTCACTTTCATTTGTGTGCTTAAGGTCATGTTGTCTTCTAGTATTCTTTTCAACTATGATTTCTTGTTGTTTTATGATATTTGTATCCTTCTTCTTACTTCTTATAAGGACTTCCTTTAACTCTAATTTTGCTAATTCCTTTCTTCTTTTCCTTTTTTCTAGATCAGGAGTCTCTATACCCTAGTTATCTAGCACTTGTATCTCTTTTTCTTCTTCAGTACTTTCTTTAAGAATTAGCTTAACTTGTTTATATATTTCTTTTTTGTTTTCTAGCTTTTCTTTGGCTTCTTTATAGCTTTTTTTGCAATCAAATATTAATATATACTATAAATTACCTTGTTCAAACTTTTCAGATATTTTTCTTAAATACATATTTTTTCTGATCGACTACTAAATAGTTAATTTAATTAATATGTTTTTTTTTGGTAGTTATGCCAATTTTTTTTGTTTTGAAAATAACTATTGCTGCGCAGCCTACCACCTTTCACCTATCCTTCACCTGGCTTAATAAAGAATACTAACACTATAGAAGAATTCAAAAACCTTGATAAAACAACATTGTTCAAAGAAGCTGCTAAACAAGTAAGGATTACATAAGTCCCGATATTTCCTTAAAAAACTAATGATTAATGCTTAACTTAATAAACGACTGTCATTCTGTTATTTATTCTTGCTAAATTCATTAAATAGATTTGGCAAGATATCATTTCTGGTGCTGCTATCAAAGATCCTTACCTTCTTACACGGTTTATCCTTGTCACCTTTGCAGATTTGAAAAAATATAAATATCATTATTGGTTCGGATTCCCTGCATTACTTACTGAACCACCATGGGTCATTGTAAATAATGTCGTTAAAGGCATAGATGAAATATGGGATAATACAGAGGTTAGTTTACATGTATTAAAATTATTTTATTTCTGACTCATTGTTACCAATTATTTTATTCTCTTGTATTAGATTAATACTTTGAAAGAAAATTATGATAAATTTAGACAAGTACAATCTGGTTCATGTACAGGATTTTTCCTTGTTAAAATACTTAGTAATAAAGAAATAATTATCGGTAGTTTGTTTGAATGGGTCACGTTTTTTGATGGATGCGATGATGATGAGGTACTATGAATCATTTCTTATTTTCTTTTTATGTAAATAATATGAATATATATTTTTTTTATATCATATATAATTACATTGACTTAGAAAATGATAGGTTTTACTGATCCATCAAGTTTACCTACCAATCCTGGATGGCCTCTTCGAAACCTTTTAGTATTGTTGAATATTCACTGGAACGTGCACAAAATCAAGGTGATATGTTATAGAGAAATCCCTAGTAAAAAAGATATTTCAAACAGTCGCATTTTGACTGTGGAGATCCCTGATACTACGATAATTCCTGGTGAGCAATACTATGATTCTAATAATAAATATAAAAGATTTTCTATTATCGGTAATTAAATAAAATTCTTAATTATAATGATTATTAGACGAATGTCCAAAAGCCGTGGGATGGGAGAAAAATTTGTCGGGTAAACTTGGTCCCCGTACTGTTGATCTTGCACATATGATGGATCCAATAAAGTTTGTAAATTAATTTTATATAATCTATTTATTATATATTTATTCAATTTATTCATACTATATTTATTTGATACTATTTTTTAATAAACTACTTTAGGCTCGCTGAAACTTCTGTTGATTTAAATCTAAAATTAATGAGATGGCGTATTATTCCAGATCTACAGTTAGAAAAAATTAGGGATACAAAATGCCTGCTACTTGGCGCCGGAACACTCGGTTGTAATGTTGCAAAGTGTTTGTTGGTAATTTATCTATATAAATATTTTTTTTTCTTTCTTTAATATACAGTTAATGCCAGCAACTAAGCTAATCTAATAGTGCTTATTAGGGATGGGGTGTCCGACATATAACTTTTGTCGATAACGCACGTGTCTCATTTTCTAATCCTGTCAGACAATCTTTATTCTTTTTTGAGGATTGTTTAGAAGGTGGGAAACCAAAGGCACGTGCTGCTGCTGAAAATTTGAAGAAAGTACATCCTAGTGTTGTGCGTATTATTTAATAAATATTGGCGCGTTAATTTTTAATAGCATTATAACGGATTATATATCATTCACACTAGGTAAGTGAGGGTCACGAAATTAGCATTCCGATGCCAGGCCATCCTATCACTTTAGAGTCTCAAGTTAAAGCTGATGTTGAAAAGATTACGCAGCTAATTGAATCACATGATGTCATATTTTTATTAATGGATAGCAGGGAAAGTCGATGGCTACCAACCTTATTAGGTGCAAGTATGCGTAAGGTTTGTAGTTTAACTGAATTGTTGGCTAGTGTTTATAGTCGATTTTTATTTTAGTAGTCGACCGATTTTGAGGAAATTGATTTCGACTGTCACGTGTTTTAATGTAATACTCAGGTTAAACGACTTTGCTATAGTCGAGTCGAATAAACACTATCATCGCCATGCAATGTATTATATCATACATTTTTATATTATAATTTATCTAACATTTATTTATTATAGCTTGTTATAAATGCCGCTTTAGGGTTTGACACATATGTGGTTATGCGGCATGGTGTAAAGGATGATTCTGAGTGTCAAACAACAGATTCTTCTGATAAGATAATGCCATCAGTGAAACAATTGGGTTGCTATTTTTGTAACGATGTTGTAGCTCCAACAGATTCTCTCAAGGATCGTACTCTTGATCAACAATGTACAGTAACTCGACCTGGTTTATCAGCCATTGCTTCTGCATATGCCGTCGAATTGATGGTTTCCGTCTTACATCATGAAAAAGGGTATTTTATATTTATTATTTTTTTATTATTGTGGCGGATCATAATGAAATCGGATTAAAATGAAATTTGGGTCTTCTTGCGTCCCCTTTAAAGCCTATAAAACCCACTTATACTCTTTTATTAACAACCCTAACCCCAAATCCTAACTCTAACCATAAAAAATGCACCCCAAAATTTTGAAATTTCATACTAAAATTATAAAAATTTCATTTTAATTTTCAAATTAGTTAATAAAATATTTATCATTTACATTTAACAGACCGGCAGCGCCTGCTGATATTAACGCAGAGCCCACCTCTTCCTCTGAATTTACTGCATCATCACCTTTGGGAATTATACCGCATCAAATGCGAGGATTTTTAACCCATTTCAATAATATGGTTATTGTAGGACAAGCTTATGAACGTTGCACGGCTTGTTCAGAAATAGTGTTGAATGAATACAGAACAAAGGGCTTTGAATTTTTGAAGCATGCTTTTGATTCACCCGCTTTTTTGGAAGAAGTAACTGGGTTAACAAAATTACATCAAGAAAGCGAAGTCGCTGGCGATTTTGATTGGGATGAAGATGATACTGAATTATAATTATATAATATTATAATATATTTTTTTGTATTACACCGAAATAACAAAATATTGATAAATACCATAATTATTCATGTGAACCAATTTTTTACTCTAAGTATCTTTTATCTGCGAATTTGCGGAATTGGGTCTAAAAATTAAATAATATCGTAGAAATTATTATAATTTCTATCGTTATTGTTTAATTTTTAATCTTTAATCTCTTTTGCTATTGTTATTTGATACATTAAAGCTTATATTACATAGCAATCATATATTTATTTTTCTTAACACTAAAATTTTAGAGTCTCTATTTAGACCAAATTCCGAAAATTCGCCGATATGTTATTTATATTATATTATAGTCAAACCTCTCTAAATGCGACATGACGGGATCTTATGGGATATTTGCTAACAAAATGACACAACGGGAAGGGTTATTTTGTTAACAAAGATCCCATAAGTAAAAAGTTGCATTTGAAAAAATATAGCACATAGGAAAACAAGTGTTGTTTTTAGTCGTGATCAAGTAGAGTGTTCATTTAGGTAGTATTTTCATATAGTGTACATTTTGTTTATTTGAATTTCGAACACATTTGTATTTATAATGTTTGAAACGTATAATCAATTAATTTTGTCAGAGATTTTGTCCGTTTTTAATTATAAAAACTTTTTTTTTTCTTTTTTTTTTAACAGTTTTGTTATAAACTTTATTAGGTGGTTAACATGTAGCAAATCACTTATTATATTATGATTTTAATATCTAAAAATCTATCTAATTTTCTAAGTTTGATATTATTTAGCTGCTACAAAAAGTGTTTAAGTATAATATGTTATACTAGTTTTAGAATCAGAATAAATGATTCAAACTGCTAAAACTATATCATTTTTAAGCTAACTAAAGCTAAATTAGAAGTAGTTAATATCTAGTAATAGAAATAAAATAAAAATTGTCATATAATATCTCAAAAAACTCTTTCTGTCAATCATTCTGACCAAATTTGAAGTGAAAGAAAAAACAAAAAAACTCAAAATTTCTATTAAGAACGAACACAAAAGCTACTAATTAAAAGAGAAGAGCAGAGAAAAATATATATATCTTTGCAAAAAATAAATAATAAAGTTAAAGAAGGTAATGTAGGATGGTGAAGTTTTCTTTGATTTAGTTAGACAAAATTGTTCTAGCCATTTGGCTAGTGCAACAGGTCGCACCTGAGCACTCTAGAAGCAGCTGGGTGATGTCAGGCTTAGAAAATTAAGTAGATTTTGTAAATCATATATAACTTGGTTATAGCTATAGTTAACAACTTAATATAATTCTGGCTTTTAACTTTCTGTAATTCTAAGTTAATACCTTTTTGTTTTAGTAGTGCTGCAACCTTTTTAAGGATTATTCTATTATCTAATCTAATCTATTTGTTGTAGTACTTGATATTATATATCTTAGATATTTGCTCTATTGCCTGCTCACTATCTGTAAAGACTCTAACTGTTGTATTGCATTGTGATATTAGAAGTACTATCCAAATCTCTATAAGTTTAGCTTTAGTTAATATTGGCCAGTTAACAACTTTAAATTTCTCTATACTAACTACTCTATTCTCAATACTATCTATTCCTACCTATTCTATTTCTATAATTCCTTTATCTACTCCTTTCTCTAGAGAACTATCTATATAAAATACTATATTTCTATCTCTTCTAAAAGCTAATTCCTGTGCTTCTTTTTTCATGAGCTCTTCTATCTCTTCCCTGAAATCTTATGCTTTTATAATTTCTACTTCATAGCTCCTTATTGGTTTGATCTCTGTAAAGCTCTATTCTCTAATCTCATTTTCTTGCTGCTTTACTACTCCTGCTATTGACTTAAGTACAAAGTTAATTACTTTTGCCTCTCTATTTACACAGTTTTTAGGTATTACTCCTAAGACCTTTCCTTTAGATTG